TATAAAGGTTATAAAATTATAAACAATAACTAGGGTGGCTTCAGGGTCACTAATTTACAAACGGGAACAAGTAATTTGACTTCAATAGTGTGAGTAATACATCTGCTACTTATTAAGTTTTGTTTCAGGCTCGCTAGGGCAGGTCCACCAAAAGGGGATTAACAGGTAAAAGCAGAAACACAAAATGATATGTTCAATGTATATACCCCTATACACAATAAATTTTAGCAAGGGTATGAGATCCCTATATACTTATCTATCTATCGTATCTTATGAACTAATAAACGAGTAAGTAGTAGAGAGCCCTCTAATTCCTAAAATCTAGGCAACTATAATTTACAACAAAAAAAGTCGTAACAACGTGCTGAACTTGAATTTTAGAAATATAAAAAAAAACGAATATAATTATAATAACAAATGGCCTTTATTCATGACAGCATTAGAAAGTGATAGACACAATCGGAAAAGGAAAAGATGAACGAAAAGATGGAGTTTCAGCATACGCTGATTTTCAACCCGACCTAAAGACAGACACAACTGATAAACTACAATAAAGGTTAAAGAGAACATAAATATGGTACAGTTCATAACATTGATGGCTAAAAAGGAAAAGCATAAAGCATTTCACTTCACATGGAAAGGAAAACAGCCAGTTACCTGCAGATGCGAAAAGTTAAATTCTTGCCATCCGGTTGCTTCACGGTAATTTTTAGTAGTTTTTAAAGTTGCTTAGGCTGGATGCTCAGTTGAGAAGCAGTTATTTAGTTTTTGTGCCCGGTACGAGAAACTATGCGTGAACAATGCTGTCGAATCCTGGAGGATGAGTCAGATGCTCTTATTCCTAGAAGATCTTCGATCGTATTGGCAGAGTAGGGGTAGCTTTGTATAAAGATAATATGGCGTTATCGCTTAGGAAATAACTATCAAAACAAGCAAGCACTAGAGAATACAAGTAGTACCATTCCAGCTTCACTAAAAAGGGCCACGTGCATCATAGGATTAGAAGCCAACTCACCTAGATGAAAAAAATAGATTCCTGTCTTTTTCGGGGATATCGCTTCCTTGTTAGCGTTGAGCAGTTGAGTAACACTTGACAACTTAGAGCTGTAGTGTAGTAGTATTTTTGACACCAAAGCAATATTGCAAGCAGAAGCCTAAATGCTAGGGCACCTCGGCTGCTATGAGGAGCGTAAAGAAACTTTGTTAATCCGAACTTAATTTGAACTGCCTAAGGTTAGTAGAACAGGGTGAAGCCCCTTCAGGTAGAGAGGTAGAAGGTTTCAGTACCTTCGCACCCTCAATATATACTAAGTGACATATAAATCCGAACACCCAGTTTAAATGGTTTTATTTCAATAAAAGTTGGTGAATGTATTTATCTTACTGTAAATAACAAGTGAAAAAATTTTGAGCCTTATCAGTTGGACATTCCGGTTTTTATGCTGTTTTTTTTAATTCACTAACGCTCTAAAAATGAATATTTCAGCCGCAGTAAAGAATCAACGTTGACGGATTTTGGTTCTTTACGATCGGTTACGATGCCTAACATAGAGTACGGAGATGTGTACGATTTCGTCAACTTAGTGAGTTTGATACGGGCCGTATAGTGGGACTTCGGGAAGCTGGACTCTCTTTTCGGGCAATTGCAGTTAGAGTGCAAAGAAGTGTACACACTGTGGTTAGATGTTGTCAGGCATGGTTTCGAGAAGGCCGTACGCAAAGGGCAAGGGCTACTGGACGCCGCCGTAGAACAACAGACCGTGAAGATCGCCGCCTAAGATTATTGGCCTTAAGGAACCGTTTCTCCACTACCAGGTCCATTGCAAATGAATGGTTTGCAGAACACGGAAGACCTATTGGCATGCGAAGTGTTTACCGACGAATGAGAAGTTTTGGCTTGTCTTCATACCGGCCACACTGGGTCCTCCCTTTAACTCGAGAACACTGACGTAATCGCCTTGAGTGGTGCAGACAACGGTCACTCTAGGAACAGGAATGGAACAGTATTGTCTTTAGTGACGAGTCTCGATTTTGTTTAGGCTTGCACGATGGTCGTGCCAGGGCTAGAAGGCGACGTGGTGAAAGGAGGAATCCACAGTTTTTTGTTGAAAGACATGTTCATCACACTGTTGGAGTTATGGTTTGGGGTGCTATAGCTTATGGTTCCAGGTCACCTTTAATCTTCATCAGAGGTAACATGAACGCGCAGCGTTATATCCACGAAGTTCTAGAACCCCATCTTTTACCCTATCTTGACACCCTGGCAGATCCAACTTTCCAAAAAGATAATGCCCGACCACATGTTGCAAGAGTCACAATAGACTTCTTTCAACATAATGATGTCACATTGTTACCATGGCCACCAAGATCACCCGACTTATCCCCAATTGAGCACGTGTGGGATATGATGGGTAGGAGATTGCTCAATTTGCAACGTCCTTCTCAGACTCTAGAAGCACTTCGAGAGGAGTTGGTGGTTGCCTGGAATGAGATACCACAGGAGGACATTGACCACCTAATCAGAAGCATGCCTAGGCGCGTTGAAAAATGTGTAGCACATCAGGGTGCATCCACACATTACTAAAGGTCAAAGGGCTTTAAAGCAGTGCAATCATTTTGAAATTTTTATCATTTACTTATTATGCTTCATTAAGTACTTATACAAAATTTTATTAAAATAAAACCATTTAAACTGGGTGTTCGGATTTATATGTCACTTAGTATATATTATCAGGCTACAGATTACCTTCATGATAATCCGAGGAAAAATCTCTCTCAACCACCGGCCGACAAACCTCTCGGAAGGCTCCTAATAATCAACAAAATCAGACTATTCGTTGGCCCCAAATACAACAGAAACTGTGGATTCACCAGCTTTCTTTGCTGAATGTTTCATGGTCTACTAAAGTTTCATACAGTCGATTTTGTAGATAGATTCGACATGAAGTAATTTAGGAAAATACGAGTATCAATACAACTATATCAAAAACGGAAGCAATCCTCTTCGAATCGCTTTTGCCCAGGTACATGTTGTATAGATAATCTCAGGAACTACATGGTTAGTTTATTCCAAAGTTCACCATTGGAACAAACAACACTTCCGGACATTTATATAAGACGCAATAAAACCGTAACAAAATACGCCTGGTACTGAGCAAGGTCCTTTTAAAACCGACCTATTTTCAAGAAATATATATATATATATATATATATATATATATATATATATATTTATATATATATCTTGAGACGTGGTCATTGTCGTCTAGACCAGTTAGGTGAAAAATTAAAGCTTCCGCTTTTTGTTGGATACTTCGACAGAAATTTAAGCAAAGAGGACCCTTTATACTTTTTCATTCTCTCTAGCTTTCAATGGACTTTGCCATCATCATCAGGAGCTGCAATTACATTGATAACAGTAGCAACAATAGTGTAAAACGAATTTAAATTGACTTAACTTACAGTGGTATGTGAGGATGTTACTAATTGTTGTTTACGTTCAGGATGAGGGAAACACCCAGTAACATGGTGAAAGCTGGATAGATGGTACAATGGTCAAAATTATATAAAATACACACAAATGTGTGACTAGAACAAGTTAAAAACAGATTAAAAATTTTTAGAACATGAAAGCATTACATCGTGAAGCCACTTGATGATTGCACAAAATGGTCTGTCGTGTGACAGCAGAACCTAGTAAGTCGACTTACTAGGTTTTACATTTTTACGTCATTTTTGAAAAGCCCGTAAAAAGTTCTACTAGTTGAATTTTTTTCTCTCGCTCAGACGCACTCTAAATCGTATATCTTTGTCTCATGTTTCCTAGTAAGTCATCAGAACAGCATTTAAAAAATCAACAAATGATGGCATGTCTACATGCTACGTTTTGAAGATTTTTTTTTGTAGGAAATTTGGCGGGAGACTCCGTCGTAAACGCACTTGCTAGTTTTTGCTAAATTTTCATGCCATGATTTCAAGCCGATTGAGTGTAGGCACGGATGCATGCTACAGCGTTTCCGCAGTCATGTTCCAACTGGCATAGAGTGTGGATCGGTGAGGACAGTCGCGAATTAGTTTAACGTTAGTACTGTAGTTAATATCCAGAATATGTCGAGAGGCAAATTCATAACGAGTTTATGCATTACAGGGAGGTGAGTGCAAGCATCATACATTACATATAAGCCAAATGAAATATTAACTCAGGAGTAACATTGCAGTTTGATGTTTTTTTTCAGTAAAATAAAGATTATAATTACTACAAACAAAAAGCTAATTCTTGCAATACGGTTTTCGTATTTGAAATATATATTCAAACCGCTGACCTCTATTTATTTTATCTTTCAGAAATGAACCTCTCGAAGAGCGTCAGCAACATGATGAAGAACCTATATCAGATTATGACGATTCTGATGCAGACCCAAATTATGAGCCGTCAGTATCCCCTAGAAGGAAAAAAATTAAATTTTCGGACTTTGATGACGTATCGCTTGCGCCCCTCAAAAACAGGCAGCCTTTGAAAAAAGTCAACGAGAATGTGAATGCAAACTGCAGAGTTTCCCAAGAAAGGCCAGACAAGCAAGAAAAGCACCCCCTACTGCTATCATGCCATAATAATTGCAGGCAGAAATGTAGCTCAAAAATCAATGATGAGAACTTTAGAGAATTGATAAGAACGAAATTCTGGAGACTCAGCTTTGGCGAGCGTAGACTTTTTTTGGATGCTCATATCAAACAATTTGAAATCAAAGTAAGGCGGCAAGAGGCTCAGCGCTCTTCCAGGAATGTTTCTCTGAAATATTTTCTACCCCTTCCAGTGGAAACTGAAGCTAAATTTGAAAAAATACAAGTGTGCAAACAATGTTTTTGCATACTTTAGGACTTAAAACAGATGGTATGATAACTTGCCATATACATTCCAAAAAGCGAAGTGTAGAAGGAATTGCACAAACAGTGGAGATGAAAGGGGGTTAGTTATTAGAGGCATGCTAGAAGAACAAAAAATGAGAACAGAGGAAATTGTCATAAAGCATATAAACTCATTCAATCCGGTAGTATCTCACTATAATTTAAAGCACACCCCGAATAGACGATTCTTGCCACCTGACTTGACCATTAAATACATGTGGCAAGACTTCTGTAATCTACAGAAAATTTCATATGATCTATACAGAAGAATTTTTGAAAAACAGAATATTGGGTTTAAAAAGCCATCGCAAGACGAATGCGCTCAGTGTCTAAAACATAAAGTTCACATTATTCGCCAATGCGACGCAAGTAGTTGCAAGATTTGTTGTCAATTCGAAAACCACAAAAAAAGTTATACGGAAGCAAGACAGCACTATGAAAATGACTCCAATCAAGAGGTAATGCAAGATGAGAAGGTCTATGCTGTAGATATGCAGAAAGTCTTACTCTTGCCCAAAATGTCAACCAAGGAATCTTTTTTTGTTTCAAGGTACTTCGTTTATAATTATATATAATTGTATTAAACTTTTATATACTTCTATATTTGTTGTTGCAGGTTGGTCGTATTCAATGAGACGTTTGCGTCACTTCATAAGGACGGAAATATTTGCGTGATGTGGCATGAGGCTATAAGAGGCAGGTCCGCGACGGATGTTGCATCGGCATACTACAACGTAATAAAAAATTCAGACAATGTTACCAAAAAATTTACATTCTGGGTAGACAACTGTTCTGCTCAGAACAAGAATTGGACACTATATTCTGCTTTTGCGACTTTTGTAAATTGTGAATGGGGTCCAGAAGAGATCACCCTAAAATATTTTGAACCAGGCCATTCATTTATGGCTGCGGATTCGGTTCATGGCCGAATCAGCACAGAAATGAAAAAACACCCAAACATTTATGATTTTGAACAGCTTCTGAAAATAAATGAGCAGTTCTCAAAAAAAACTAAATGTTTGCCTATAAATAATTTTGATTTTTTCCTCTTTGAAGATGGAAGCAAACAAAGAAAAAGCAATAATATACCTCTTCTTGAAAAAATTAAGCGCTCAGTTTCGCAAAGGATGCAGACACTTGTTTTATAAAGAATGCCATAATGAAACTGTCTTTCAGGAAGTCGACTTTTTGAAAAAAAAAGTTGATCTCAAATTCCCTATACATCCTTTTGTCGAGCCACTGGGATTGAACTCAGAAAAAAGAGAAACAATTTTAAAAAATTGGTACCATCCTTCAAAGATGAAAGAAAGAATCTATTTTGGCAGTTTTTGCCATCTAATCATAATTAAAAAGACTTATGTGTGGTATCAGAGGCTTAGCGCTTAAGTTCTTGTTCTTCTTGTATGTAGACTTGCTGTTTTATGTTCCACCGTTTTTCATTCAAATGTTTATTTTCCAGTTAGTAAGTAGATATGTTACTTTTTGTGTTCGCCTTCGCACATAAATTATATCAAATAAAACCTTAGTAAGTACACTTACAATATCTTTTTTTTTATTTTCTCTAGTCGAAATTTTGTAAAAATCAGTAAGTTGACTTACCATTTTCTGCTAAAGTATCTTAATTTAATATCGAAAAAGAAACCATGAAAAAAAAACGTAAGTCACTTTTCTACCATAAACAAAACTATCACATGAATAAAATTGATGCTATCGAATTTAGCAAGTTACATAACCCTTCAGACAATTTTTTTAATATTCATAAAACTTAAACTTTTCGAAAGCCGAATGTTTATTGAAAATATGTTATTTCTCAAACCTGATAAAAAGTGACTTACTAGGTTCTGCTGTCACACGACAGTGGTGGTCATGGAATAATGAGTGAGATGAACCCTTTAACAGAAGGCCAAAGGTTGTCAATGTCTGTGTAGAAACATTATAACATTCCTCTTTCATAACAATTATTTCTCTTTCAACAACAAAATACATTCTCAAACACATGGTTGTCCTATGGGATCTGTTCTATCACCAATTTGGGCAGAATATGTCATGGATAATCTGCTTGATACTGTTATTCCGACACTACCCTATAACCTCTTCTTCATAAAAAAATATGTAGATGACATTATTTTATGCCTCCTCTCCAGAGGTCTGGATGGTATTGTCAGAGAATTCAACACATCCAATTTACCATTGAAAAGAAGATGAGAACATGTCTGTCCCCTTTCTAGACGCAAGACTCATCGGCACCAACAACAATAGTTTATTGGTAGACTGGTACCAGAAACCTATGGCCTCAGGCCGGTTTCTCAATTTTAAGTCATACCATAAGCTAGGGATTAAAATCAACTTGGTGAAACAGATGAAAACAAGAGTAATCAGCATCTCAGACAATACTTTCCACACTTCAAATTTACGTAAACTATCAAAACTGTTCATCAATAATGGTTATCCGAAGTGTCTGATTAACAAGATCTTATTTAGTTCACCTCCCAATATTTTGCCAAACTCTAAAGATACAAGTAATAGTTGCACAACCCCTAATAACAGAACTTATAGAATTCCCAACAATAACATCAATTCAAACAGTACAAGCACCAACCCAAACTCCAGACCTGTTTTTGCTGTCCTACCCTATATCAAGGAACTGACCCCTAAGCTGATCAGATTGTGCAGTCCTTTGAACTTTCGAATTGCTTGCAAATCCGTCCTCACTATAAACTGTATTTTTTCAAAAATGAAAGACAGAGTCCCGTTGCTTGGCTTAACCAACACAGTCTACTCCATCAATTGCAACAACTGCAACCAAATATACATAGGTCAGACCTCCAGATCTCTTAAAGGAAGGATTACATCACACAAAAGTGATTCTAGGCTTCATCCTGAAAGATGCGCTCTAGCATCTCATGTTAACACAACAGATCACTCTATGAATTACACAAGTATCAAAGTTCTTGATAAAGAAAAACACCTATCTAAACGTTTATTCCTGGAAATGTCCCATATTTTCATGAATAACAACTGTATCAACAAAACGACAGATGTTAAGCAACTGAGTGTCATTTACTCATATTTGCAAAACTGCGAAAAATTGGAGCACTTACATATCTCCCCAAATTTTGTCTCTTCACAACCATAAATGGAATTTGTTTCTTGGTCGATTCCACCAATAAACTTCATTCCACTCAAATTCTAATAATTTTCTCCTCACGATTTAATAATAATTGTAATTTAATTGCCCATTAATTAAAATATAGTTAATTCAACTGCCTCTGGTCGGTTTAACAATTTCTTACATACTATTCTGAAAATCACATCATCTGATTTGGCAACGTGGCACACGCCCACAATTCGTTCCATCTTTCTACACAGACATTGACAACCTTCGGCCTTCTGTCAAAGGGTTCATCTCACTCATTATTCCATGACCACCATTTTGTGCAATCATCAAGTGGCTTCACGATGTAATGCTTTCATGTTCTAAAAATTTTTAATCTGTTTTTAACTTGTTCTAGTCACACATTTGTGTGTATTTTATATAATTTTGACCATTGTACCATCTATCCAGCTTTCACCATGTTACTGGGTGTTTTCCTCATCCTGAACGTAAACAACAATTAGCAACATCCTCACTTACCACTGTAAGTTGAGTCAATTTAAATTCATTTTACACTATTGTTGCTACTGTTATCAATGTAATTGCAGCTCCTGATGATGATGGCAAAGTCCATTGAAAGCTAGAGAGAATGAAAAAGTATAAAGGGTCCTCTTTGCTTAAATTTTTGTCGAAGTATCCAACAAAAGGCGGAAGCTTTAATTTTTCACCTATATATATATATATATATATATATATATATATAGTTTTGTAAGTTCTAATGCTTCAAAATGCGCCAAATTTTACTTTGCCTGTTCCATTTAACACATACGATAACGCGGAGATTAATATAGTGATAAATGCACATTTTGACCTCAAAAAAGATGCACAATGTAAACTAAGCAATATCCACCGAACAGCTACCGCTGATGCATCGCCATGTTCACCTCAAGCTCGGAGAATTTATTTAAATTTTCGGGTATTCAGACGCCGTTTGCGAGTTCATAAATCATACCATGGAGAAAATTAAAAATGAAATAAGACGAGGCATCAACCATATTTTTATCATTAATCTCCATCTTAGTTACCTGCGCTATTTCGCTCTTGTGTCCTGGCTTTTTCTGTTTTGGTCACGACCGACAAATCGCACGGAAATGAGCGGAGTGGAAATGCAATTTGCGCTTTAGCGCTGACTTGCTGGTTGTATCATAGACTATCCAGTGAGGAAGAGAAGTTACTTTACAGAGACGCTGTTGATACATTGGTTAGGTGATACGGAATTTTTCACCAGCGTTCTACGTACGAGGGACACTAGAAAATAAGTCTACCTAGCCACGATAAAAACACCTAAAACGCTTCCAACTTATAAAATGAATTTTTAGGATAATGAGTAAACTTAAAATTAGAGTATGGCTGTTTCATGAAATTTCTGACAAAAGAAGGTTATTTGCCGAAAAAAATTCCTTTTCTTTTGAGAAGGGTGCTGACGGAAACAATTCTTGAGAGAACAGTTGGCGTCTATGACAATGATGCATCGCCAAACTGAACAATTAAATTTTGGTCGAAATAGTTTCGTGAATCCATAGAATACGGTCCCAAAGGTGGAAGACCCAAAACAGCAAGATATGATGAAATGAGAAAAACTTGAGGCCATTGTTCATGAAGATTATCTTGAGAGGGGTCTCTACCATTAGTATGACGCTGAATATATCAGAATCCAGCATAATAACCATCTTGCACGACAATTTGAGCATGAGTAAGGTGTCAGTTAGGTCGGCTACACTACTGTTGGCACCTGAAGAAAAATTCGGCAGGTTGTAAATTCCAGAAAGTCATCTGGAAGCTTTGACAAAAAATTTTGACTTTTTGCACAAGTTGTGACGAACGTCGAGACTTGGGTGCACCATTGGGATCCTGATACAAAAACAGAATCTAGGAGTGAGTTCATAACGAGTTCTCCAACATTATATATATGCCAAAATGGCCAACAATAAATGAGGATGCCTATGCGAACTCGCTGAAATATTTAGGTCAAGCAATCAACCAGAAAAGACCCATTTTTTATAATCGAGAGGTGTTTCTGCTGTATCCCAATACGACCGTGCATAAGGCTTACAAAGTTCGTTCAATTTTGTAGGAATTCAGCTTTGTTGAGATATTCCATACTTGTTATTGTCCAGACTTGGCTTTATCTGACTTTCAACTTTTTGGATTTCTGAGGAAAATCTTTGAGAACGCCATTTTGACTCAAATGATGGCCCAGAAACAGACGTAGATATCTTTTATAACAGTTAAGAGCAAACCTGTTTTTATAAGAGTTTACGTACAGTGGAGGCGAAATGGCGCAAGTGCATTGATGTAGGGGGAGACTGTATTGAAAAATAAAATATCAAAAAAATCGTACGTCTACTGTTTCCTACCTAGGTAGTTTTCTCTTCTTGTACCCCACGTACTTGCCTACTGCCTAGCAATGTATCTCTAATCGTGTCTCTGGTGCTCTTGTTTTTCGTTTATTGGACGTTGGCGATTATGTTGGACGTTAATATCTTATTTACAGCATCTCTAGAAAGTGAGTCTGATATTTGACGGAACCACTGCCGCAGATTCTTCAGAGAGGACGTTCGACATCTTCCTGGCCGCTCTTACCACTTATCTTCCATTACATGACGAGATATAGAATGCTGTATTTTTCAAGATCTTTCATCACATGTGTGAAGTATGTTAGTTTCCGCGTATCTATCGTCTTAATAATCTGTTTCTTTCAACCACCTACACCACTGAGGAAGAAAACATAGTTGCCCACCCTCCGTTCGTTGTCTTAGGCCCGTATCGTCAGTCGTCCCTACAATTGTGGGGCGCGTTTATGGCCTCTTTGATTGTCATACTCCTCTCTCCCTTCAAATTGAAAAGTGCCAAAGTTTGCCCAATTCCAAAGTCAAAAAATTATCACTGTATCAGTGAATATAGGGCTATATCTATACTCAATAATTTTGCAAAACTCTTGGAGATCGTACTGTACAACCGCATTTACCTGTCCACTAAAAATAATATTTCCAT